GGAACACTTTATTGTTGGTGGCAGTGTAGACTGGTGCAATCACTGTGGAAATCAGTTTGAGATTCCCCAACAGACTAGGATTAGAGATGCATTTGACCCAGCAATCCCCATTCTGGGTGTCTTCTAAGAAGAATTAAAAGCATCATACCACAGCCACATGTGTGCCTACATGTTCATAACACCACAACTTCTGATAACTCAATCTTGGAAACAACCCAAATGCCCATCAACCAAAGAAGGGATAAAAATGATGTGATGTTTTTATACATTGGAGTACTACTCATCCATAAAGAAAGATAAACTTAAGACTTTTATAGTAGCTGGCTATAATATGAGACCATACTCATAAGGGAAATAAATCAGATTCATATATGTAGACATCACATTATCTTCCTCATGTGACAAATTGAAAGAGTAGATAAGGTCTAAATTGTACAATAGATATTGTGAAATAGGAAAAATTCTTTAAAAGGAACTAGGAGAAAACGAAAATAAAAAATACAAGATAATTAAACTATTTTCTCTTAGTTCATTGCAAAGAAATATTTGTGCTAATATTATTTGGAGAGTTTGTTACGCCCATATCTGAGTAACTAAAGGTAGCAATACTGAATCTACTAATTATTATTATTTTCCTATTATTTTGTTATGAAATTTTTTGCAATTTTCTCCACAAAAGTTATTTAAAAAAGAAATGGAGCAGCTTTTTCCAAGGACGATAATCATTATGTCAGAGATTTGAACCACAACTTCCAACTGTAAATAATGTCTCCTGTATCTTACTGATTTGATAGAGAGAGGCATTCCAAGTTTTGTGTTTGTTTGAAGTAGAACCTGGGATTAATTGTTGGGAAGAGTAGTTAAAACATTTTGGTTTGCAAGAATAGAGCTTCCTTACTGGGACCAATGAAATCCATGAAGAATATCATGTTTGTAAAATGTAATAAACGTTCAATTTAAACATAATATTCAGAGCAATTTTGTTGCATAAAAAGAGATTATTGTAATACTGAGGTAAAAGGAAAGAAGGGAGGAGAAGGAAAGAAGGAAGGAAAAGAAAGGAGGAGGGTGAGAAAAAGGAGAGTGAGGAAATACTTTCAGTATTAAAACTAGACTTCCTTGAATACAAGTAGCCCGTATATGTCTGCGAATGAGCATAACATATATTGAGGTTCTAATCAGCTGAAGAAGTTGAATAACAAATATGGTGTCAGCAACCAGGCCTGTCAATGAGAACAGATGTAATTCTTCCTCAAACATTTATTTTTCTTGGTATTTCCTACATGAAATCTGCATGGATGTTTAATTCCGAAAATCAGTTTACCTAAAAAGAAATACAAACATGAAAACCAGGCAATTCATTTATTGAAGCATTGCTAAATATTAATTATAAAATAACAGTTGAATGTGATGTAAAAAAGACAAAGCATTGGAGTGTAAATGTCTCACTGTTGTGGCAATACATTTTCTTTTGATGCACAGTGGTTATTCATAATAACGGGCATGTGCAAACAAGGAGCTTCAAACAACCTACTGCGTTCCTCCTCCAGTAACCCCCTTGCCCTTCTCTCCTCTCTGTCCTCCTGTTTAATATTTCTTCTGCTTTCCTGTTCTGCCTCTCCTTCTCCCTCTCCCTCTCCGTCAACCTCTCTCTCTTTCTCCTTCTCCCTCTCTCTGACTTTAACTCTCTCTGACTTTGTCTGTCTCTGTCTCTGTCTCTGTCTCTGTCTCTCTCTCTCACCAAAAGAGAAAACACATAATATTTTTTTCTGAGTCAGGCTTATTTCACTTAACATAATGTCAGCGCACTATTTTCACGATTTCCTAATGAAATTTTTAAAAAACAACTTAATATTCTTGATGCTTTAGCTAAATTCTTCAGAACATTAATATTCTTAAATGTTACCATATTTAATGAATATTTTCTGTAGATTTTTTTTACAAAATTACTGTTTGTAAAGTTACCAGAATTATTGAACTGATTGTGCTACAGAATTAAAGAATTACATGCTTGTCTTTTGCTAATGTGGGATTTATTTCTGGTCAGATACTTACAGCTCAATAATTTATACTGATTTGTAGAATTTCTTATATGTTATAAGAATTATAGTAGATCTCACTGTATTTGTATCTGTTTCTGTTTTTAAATTTCATGAAAGGAAATTTTGAGTTGTATGTGGTGCACTGCCTTAAGGTTTCTATCAACTTATCTATTACAAATCAGTGTCATTTATTGACATCTATTTTCCACTGATCCTTTTTTGGCAATCAATGAATTAAATGTCATTTATTTTGTGTTGTTTCTCCAACACTATCTGACGAGTGGGTAGTTTAGTTTTCTTTGAAGTTATTCTAGTTGTTGCAAGCCAATCACTAAAAGTTTTGTCCTCTACTATACTTCTAAAGGTAAATTCATTAATCTATGTTAACTGCATTGAATAACTTAATTTTGAAAAATATTACATTGTTTTTGAAGCTTTTGTATTCTTTGTTTTCAAACAGAATGCTTTGCAATCAATTTAATTTTCAGGATATTTTACTGACCACTTTACTGACTTGTATGTTTGTGGTATCTTATGAGTCCTCCCAGATTTTTATTTTCCTTATTGAGCACCCGTGACACTATTTTGAAGAATTTAAATTAGTAAGTTTTCCCGGGGGCAGGTATATAGCCCAGTGGCACAGCACCTGCTGACAAGCACAAAGTCCTGAATTTGATTCCCAGTACAAAAAAAAAAAACAAAAAACAAAACAAACAAACAAAAAAACAAAAGTTTGCCTTTAGCTTTTCTTCCTGACTTCACAGTTACTAACTCACACTACATGCAGAAGTTGCTTTGGTACTTATTTATGTCCAAACACAGTTACATGGACTTCTATAAAATCTTACCAGAGTTATAGAATGAAAAACAGTTACTGATGATAAGATCATGGAATCCTATACAAATAATGAAACTATATTATATTATTTCCTGTTAGTAATATTTTTTCTCATTTTAGAAAGCCTCACCATAACACTCATACTGACAGATTATTCATAATCTTTGATAACCTTATAATAATAATCATTTTATGACTGAATTTAAATTTACTTAGTCTACCTTAAAAGTTATAAATACACCCATTTTAAACTAGCCAACTTCATCAGATAACCTTTATAACCATTCACAGACCAGACAAAACCCTCCATGATAATTATTTTATATTAAAAATGTCTGAATTTTTAGGACTCAGAGATCCTCAGCCACATCATTATTTTCAAAGCCATCAAACTGAAGTTTAACGTACTCCCTGCATTGAATTTCTGTCTGTATTTTAACAATATATAGATTCTGATTTTTACTCTTTCAACTACCTTTAGATGAGAAAATTTTCACGTGGTCTCTTTTGAAACTCCATTGTAAATGTTCACAGAGTAAGTTTTCTCAAAACAATTGTAAAATGTTTTATAATGCAATTTGCATAGTTTGCGCAATCATCCCATGACATTCATCAAATGAAAAAAAAGATGTATAAGTTTAATGCTGGTTGAAATAAGAGAGAAAAAGAAAGATTCAAATAGAAAATGATGATGACTAAATATAGCTTCCCTGTTTTGTATATTTCTGGTGAGGTTGAAAGTTCAAACTTTCTATAAGCAATTGAAATTAAAAAAACTTTTTAAGCTTCGAGTTTTTTTTATATAGGATACTGAAGATACATTTGATTTCTCTCTGGAAAGCTTGATAAAAGCTTTGAAGAAAGAAAAAAGGAAGACTACTATGCACAATCCACAATGAAATATATTGGGGCTGGGGATTTAGCTCAGCGCTAAAGCGCCTGCCTTGCAAGCAGGCAGTCGTGAGTTTGATCCCCGGTACCGATAAAAACAAAAAAGACAAAAACAAAAACAAAACAAAAAAAGAAATATATTAACCATAGCGACGGCTAGAGTCTAACATAAACTCCCCATTACATTTTAATGACTGTATAGTTATTCAAGTAGGACATGATATTGATAATAACAGCAACAAAAATAAAAGGAAATTGTATTTAATTTACTGTATTAAGAACAAATGTCTTATTAAACTTATTGTATTTGTAGTTAGATGACATTTAAAATTGGAGACAATCTATACTCTTTCCTCTTTGAACCATTTTCACATCAGATTGCTGTCTTTAAAGAAATAAATACTCTGAGAGTGTTGGAAGCCCCCTTCCCTCCAGAGTTTCTGATTAATTTGAGAGCTCGTGTGCTTTTTCAGCTCTACAGTTTGGCAGCAATCCTAGATGTAAACATTTTAAATTATTTTATTACTTTATATATGAATACAGCTTACCTATTTAACAAGATTTTAAGCTGTAATGAGCCTTTTCTCCATTATTCTATGATCGTATTTTATTTATTTTTGTTGTTTTTCTTCTGTTGGTGGAGGTAATATTTTTAATTTGCCTGAAGTGCAATGTGATTTTTACTACTCAGACTGAACAAAACAGTTGTCTTATGGAGCTTAAACATTTATTTGGAGTTTTAATTGAAGTATTTGATATTTTGAATATCTGTAGGTATCACTTTAAATTAGTTTTTTTCTAGGGAGACTACTTCATCTATACCCAATTATTGTAGCTTTTGCTATCATATTTAACTTTTAGAAGTCATTTTGATTCTGTATATTATAAATATTTGGTGCTTTTTTAAAAAAAATTGAGATTCAAGAGAAATATTTAACTACACTCCAAATCCCACAAGTGTATTTTATGATTTCAAGAATAAACAGCAAAGGATAGAGGACATAAAAAGCATGCGACTTTTTAAATGCCTAAAATATTATTTTCCCATTATTTCCTGAAATATGTCTTATTGAGATACTGTTGAAAATTTTCTACGTAGAATATTTTGAAAATTTGTTTCATTGCTATTTTTGTCTTTTTTTCCTCAAAATAAAAAAACAAAGAATAGTTGCTGTAGAATATGTTACATGTTTCTCTAAATTCTCCTCTTCTGATTTTTTTTCTTTCAGTTACTGGCTGACAAACAAAGTTCCCATCAAAAGACCCAGTACGGGTCTCCTCATGTACACACTTGCTACAAGATTCTGTGATGAAATTCACCTGTATGGATTCTGGCCATTCCCTAAGGATTTGAATGGAAAAGCTGTTAAATATCATTACTATGATGACTTAAAATACAGGTACTTTTCTAATGCAGGTCCTCACAGAATGCCATTAGAATTTAAAACATTAAATGTGCTACATAACAGAGGAGCTCTAAAACTGACAACAGGAAAGTGTATAAAGCAATAAAGCACATTTTAAAACATGAAAACAGATTCAATATGCACTTCGTTTCTGAGGATGCTTCTGAAGATTTGATAATAGGATCCAAATCAAAGCTGGACTTAAGCATTGGCAAATTAACTGAGAGGTTGATAAAAGTTCATGTGAAATCCACTACCAGCTGATGAAATACCTGCAAAGTGCTCTAAAAAAGTAAATATTGTGACTTCAAGGGTCCTAGTAAGTGCCACTTCCACTAAGAATACAGTTTGAATGTATAATCAGTAGTGTTTACAAGATCCAACAATGCACTTCTCATTAATTAAAGAAGCAAATATGTTCATCCTTGTCGGGCTGCCCCTGAAATGCCAAGCACATTGGAAGAGGAACCCAGAAACACAACTCAGCCACTGGAAAATCAAACCATCCTTGCCAGCAGAAAACAAGATAGAAACATTTTAAGTAATGAAATCCAGAAGAATAAACAACTCAAGCAGATGCCTTTGGTTAGGACTCTGGTCTGATCATGAATTATGCTTGTGCTTATTTTTGTCTTCTAGAATCTCTTTTGATTGGAATAGTGAGTGATGAGAAATCATTTTTGAGATACACAAATAAGAAATACATATGAAATAAGGGAAATGTCAAGTGATAATCTCTATGGTTTTATTATATTTTCTAAAAATATCAATCAATCGCACAAAGATTTTTTGAAGTTTTACTTTGCATAACTTTAAAATTCCAGTTTATTTTTTAGCATTGCAAAAGGTACCAGCTAATTTGTACCCTTCAGTAATAATGAACCTTTCTAAAACTAAGAAGTTTCATGTCACCTGAGATGGTAAAAGAAGCAGACAAAAATTGCACTTATGGTACCAAAGATTATATTCATGTTTCTACACAACAAACCGTTCTCCTTTCATGAAAATAATGCTATTTACATGAATGTGTTATCATCCAACTAATGTAAAAGTTGTCTCTAAGTATTATAAAATGTTCAAAATTTTATTTTATTTAAAGGAGAACTTCTATACTTTTTAGATTTCATAATTTTATGGGAGCATTTTCCCTTAGAATAAATGTTTGATTGATATAGCTGATTTGTAGTTCTTAAGTATTCTTCCTGTTATTCAAACATTGTTTATATCATTATTAAATGTCTTAGTGCAGAAATAACATGATTAATACAGTGTTGTTTTCATAGCAGAGGTGATTAATTTTAAGTCATTTGACAATGAAACTGTGTGTCAATAAATTGCACCTAAAATATACCCAATTTCCCAATAGTATTCTATAGTTAAATTAAGTCACATCGTGTTTTTAAAGGAAAGTGAATCAGTTCATAAAGTGATTTAAAACAGTTTGATATATACCAGTATTAAACAGTTTTCTGGCAACACACTGAGAGGTAATTCTGATGTAATTTATTTCTTTAGAAAGCAGAAGCACTGTGTTCTCACTTCTTCTTCACCAGAGACAACTTAATGTGCTTCTTGTTTCTTGGTGAAGGCAATCTGAGAAAAGAAGAAATAGCAGGAGAAATACACATGCTTTATTTCTTAGAGACGGCATTCTAAAAAATGAATACAAAGCATATGTATGAATATAAATGCATATTTATATTCATGCTATCATGGGAAAGGACATCCACCATAGAACAGTTTTCAATATTTTTAATAATATGTGATATTATTTTTTAAAAATATTGTATGGTAGAACACAGGGATGCAGAAGACAGTATTTGTGCACATTCCCGTTTCTCTAAGAAAGCGAAGTGAAAAAAATTCACGTGGAAGATCCACAGCTGAAAATGAACAGGACTTTACTGTATTTTTATCGTGAAACTCTTATCTGTTAGAACTTTTAAAAGAAATAGTTACATGATTTGAATGTAAAGTTGAATAGTCTGATTTACTTGACAAATAAAATACAGGTGGTTCATGGAATCTTTGGACTATGTGCAGATAGTATGTTGTTATAATCACCTTTAACTTGAATTCAACAAAAATCAGAAAATCACAAGCCAATTCTTACATATAAAATCCAACTTAACACTCACTCAAAGTATGTCTTTTACAAACAGCAGTAATGTACAAATACCTTGCCATTTTTACTGTGTTTTCAACAAATGCATTCAAAACATCTTAAGGCCACAGCAAATCCATCTCAGCCCTTCAGTGTTCTGTACCCTCCAGTTTATCTTCTAGATGCATTGGGTAGTGCCTTTTTAGCTTCTTCTTGTTGTTCTGTTATGCTACGCTGTGCGTTCTCTAGATACTCGCCCAGTTCAGAAAGTATTCAGCATAAAATAAAAGGGCTTCAGTATTGACTGAGACTACTTTTGTTCATCTCAGGGAACTTTCCATACTCGAATGAATTCAATTAAAGTTATTTAGTGTTCAAAGAAGACAAAGTCTACGGGACCATTTCATTCCCTGGTGTAAACTGTGCCATCTGCTCTCCCGCAGCATCACCTGTGGCCTCCTTACAAAGACAGACGTACTTCAAGGAGATCACTGAAAATGACCATCAAGAATGATAAACAGAATTGAGTTTTCACCAACAATGGGCATAAAGGATCATAACAAGATCCAATCATAAGCACATACTTGAAGTGTTTTTTTTTTCTTTTGCAGATATCATATATTTACAGCTTTCATTTTTTTTAAATTTATTTTTCATGATTAATCCTGTACCTGGCAATGCTCAGGCTGCTAATTATGAAACATTCCTGTCATTTACTTAATGTAGTTGTTACTGTGCTGTTGAGGTGAACAGGCCATGGAAACATTTTCATCATTGTTCTCCAGCCTGTTCAGTAATTAAGTTGCTGAATTAGAAAACAAAATTCAGTAAGAGGTTTTTCAGGGCAAATATGATGATTCAGCCCACAAGATTAAAGAAACTACTGTGGAAGGTTTTTGTTTTGTTTTGTTTTTTGTTTTTCTGTCTGAAAGAAGGTGCTAGGGATTCCAACATCTCTGTGCGTTGTAAATCATATGAACTGTGCACCAACTGTTAGTGAGAATTTCTACATATCTGCTTATGGATGTGATCTATCTAAATAGTGCTATCAATAGTGTACATACCAATTAGTTTCCAAGCTACTACACAGGAAAAAAAGTAAAGAAAGTAATTTATTTTCAATTGAGCCAGTTAGTCATAATGCACATAATGTGGTGTTTGCTTCATGAAAGGGTTGTCATCGTGTGGTTTTTGTAAGGACTGTCTATAATTGTGGAAGGAACATAAGAAGAGTTGTGTATAGTTAGTTGTTATCTCTACCAGTTTGGAAGTTTCCCCATAATATATTTTCAGTATACCAACGTTTTAAAATCTGAGTGAGGGTTATTGTTTGTATTTGATAACAGAAAATCCAAATAAAGCCCACCTAGAAATAGATATTTTATTCTATATGTGCTATAGATATACCTATATAGTACAAATAGACATGCCATGCATATATACAATGTTATATATGTGTATCTGTGTGTATACACACTGAGTCTGTAATGTTACACACTAGATTTGTGTTATGCTGATATTTTCAGGGTCTGCACTCTGAACTGCCCTGGAGATAAGACCACCTTAGAATAAGGAAGTTCTTTTGAGACTTCTGTTAGAAATCTGCTTTACGAGAGATCTACTTTCTATCTGAATTTTGTGCTGTTCATACCTGTAGCTACAATGAGAAACAGTGTGTCCAAACCTTAAAGGAAAAAAAAACATGAAAAAAAAAAAAGAAAAAAATATTTTCAAGTTGGCAATGTATTTGAATTGCAGTTTGCAGATTGGGGCTCCAGCCTTTGTGTTCCTCATTTAAGTAGCACCTTTTAATAAATACAGTTTCTGTGTGTAGGCATAAGCACAAGTGTTTCCAATGTATATAGTGGGAAGAAAAAGAGTTTACAGAGATAGCACTGCTGCACAGGATAATTGCTACTGAATATTTCTTATACCATTTGTGAAATTAAAAAATGAGGTTTATTCTGTCTGGTTCATTCTGTTCAAATCTGTTTCCCTATTGTCTTGTACAGCAATTGGGTATTCTTGTTTTATCATTTGTAAAACTGTAAAATAAATTGAATCCTTTTTTTAAATCTCCCATCTCTTACATAGAAGTCTTTGATTTCACTTTATAGGTCAATAGTGGGCTACGATTTTAGACAAGTTTCTAATAGTGTTTTCCCCTCTCTTCTTTGCCCCACTCATTGACAAAATGAGGCTAATCATTCATTAATTTTTAAGAATATGCAATGCAACAGAATGTACACAATATAAATGTTCCTGTGATCACCGGACATAGAATTGAACAGTGTCTTTGAATGTGGTACATTCTGGTCATGGTTCAGGGAATGAAATATTACACAAATGACGGTTTTTAATAGCCAATTTGTACTCTCTCTGACTGAGATAATTGTCAGTTCAGCTCTACAGATGACGAGGTCAATGGATCCCTATACAATATGGATTTTTAGGACTGGCCTTTGCTTTGTGGTTTTACATGCAAATTGGTACACTTTGTATTATTTTCTAGGTCATAATTTTGAAAGTCTACATACTTAAATCTTTTCCCGTATCTTTCTGTAACTTAAAAGTTTGTTTTTATACCAAACTATTTTCTGAAGAATACTTTCATTCCATGAGGTCACTTTCAGCATTCGGTGATTTTGAAATGTTTTCAGTAGACTACAATGAATCACCAATAATGGACAGTGAACATAGATGTTATTTCTATCTATGTAATTGCCTCTTACTTCAAAATCCACTGGAAATGGATTGCTCCTATTGGAAAACAAACACATCTCATCATGCAAATTTCACTTTTATGATTTTATAGGAAAACTTTAGAAATTTTTGACATGAATCTTGGTCACGTTGATTTGTATATCTATCAAGTCAGCTTCCTCTTATGTTAGAATCTTATTTTGTGTACCACAAAATTCATCACATTGTAGTCATTTGAAAGTTGAGGATCCTCTCCAAATATTTCTATGGAATTTGGGTGTTTCACTCATCTCCATTAGCAACTGTTTACAAAAATCTTTTAAATTTAAACATCTCTAGATGGGAAAAACCTCTCATTTTGATAGATTTTTTTTTTCCTGCTTTCTTCTTGGGGATAGAAGATATTAATCTTCAAATTATGAACAATTTCATGACCTCCTCCATGTACTCCCATCATTGTGTACGAATTCATGAAATCCAGGTAATCCTGTTTATAGGAAGAAAATTATCATTTGACATATTCTTAAAAAATGAAAGTTTCAATCATTTGACTTCCTAAATTACTAGAGGTTCGATAATCTAATCATGTGCAATTCTTAAATACAGACATTTAATTATTTCCTTTGTTTCCAGCCTGGTAATTCATGACTCAGTTTCTAATGTAAAACTTTTCAAACACAAAATTACAGCAGCCCATGATAAACTCCAAGAAGACATATTTAGTGAATAACATCTCCATGAATCTCTCTCTTGAAAATTCAGAAAATACATTAACTGTGAAAGAACCGTTATCTTGCTAAAAACAGAAATTTCTATTTTCTAAAAAGTCATAATCTCTAAAATAACTTAGCTATGAAATTAATGTCTAAGAACACAATTCTTATAATGAAAGTAAAAAACATTTTTCATTTGCACAAACTGATACTTAAATTTTCTATTTTCCCTTCAAGTAAATATTTTATGTTTTCAAATATTAAAAATATTTAAACATACATACTTTATTATTTTTATGGAAATGATTTTTCTTTTGTACATATTTGTGTGTCACAGTTACATTTCCAAGAGCAGTCGTTCCACTAAACAGTGGTCCTTCTAGGGAATACACACAAATCAGTTATGCTTAAGGCATTTGGTGGCATGGGAAGGAAACCTTGCTGTGAGGTGCTATTTTGCATTCTCAGGAACAAGTCGGATTATTACACACACTCACTGCTGTGTGTCCAACCCAGCTTCCTCAGCCCAGGCCTCCCATACTACACAGATGGGCTGACTATGAGTGCATCCGCCTGGGCTGCCAATAGCGTAAACATCCTCAGCTGCTGGCAGATGTTTTTCAGGAAAGAGCACTACCGCTGGAGTCATTCTATGTTAGTTAATCTCTGTGGTTGGGCATCAGGCCATCCAGTTAAAACAGATCATTTGTCTCTTAGGTAGACAGCAACGACAGGGTGAGTGAACACTTAAATGTTTGTAAAATATTTACTATAAATATGCATTTAGAGACATCACTAAAGGAAACCTTAAAAGGTCAAGAATTTAGTGAAGTAAAAACATTTTTTTTTTTTACTTTCAAATCTTATTTTCTGAGCTCCTCCAAGATAATAGTTAAGTTTTAGTGGGCAAAAACTATTCTTTCTGGTTTTCTATAGTTATTGGTGTAATTCAAGTTAATGTTCTTGGGTAATGTTCTAATAACTCAGCTGCATCCATACTTTACAGTCCTGTTTTTTTAATCAAAAAGATCCTAAGCATTTGTTTATGAATTTTGATTGAGTTATCAGGACTTCATAGCATGGTTTTGTTACAAAAATTTATAAACTAAATTGATACATATGTAGTTGCAAAACTTGATGACCTATAACATTTTAAAATATCTTAGCCAGGTGTAGTGATGCACACTTGTAATCCCAGCACTTGGGAGGCTGAAGGAGGAAGACTGCTGTGAGTTCCAAGCTAACCTGGACTACGTAAGGAGTTCAGGGCTAGTCTGAACTATGTAGTGAGAAACTGTCTCAAAAAAAGTTATCAGCAGCAGGGAGTATAGCTCAAGGGCATTTCGCCCACCTAGCAAGAGTGAGGTCCTTAGTTTGATTCCGCATTCTGATAAAATAAATTCTCACATAAAAATATTACACTTACTCAACATTTCAAAAGTAATGCTACCTATTAATTACTCTCCTACATGTGAGGAATTCCTTTCTACAGGTGTGTGTTTGTCAGAACTTAAAGAATGGACATAAAACAAAAATCTTCATTTGGTGACAAGACTTTTGTAGTGTATCCAGAGAATTAAGGAAACACAGAGAATACTGGTAGATGGATTTATAAATCCTGGCCTAGAGAAAAAAAAGAAAACTGCTTCTGACCAGTGACTGCTGAAGTGAGTGTTAAAAGACATGCTTAATTCTATGTGGTAAACACTTTATGAAATGTTTGTTAATCATGTGTAACTCCAGGAGCTAGCACAGCTTCATCTGGGCAGCTTGATTTTAGATGCTGGAATCATGAACAACATAGAAATTCTGATCATCTATGATACAACTGTCCTTATTCAATTTGTATTTGCAGCTTGAAGGAATGAACCATAAAAGAAAATGTCTTATACTTAATTCCAAGTAATGAATGCCTTAAATGATTTATTTTAGTTGATTTAATTGAGATTTCCAAATTTTCCATGAATTTAAGATTTGCCTTAAGATCATTTTAGAATGTACAAATCTACAGTTCCACATGCCCAAATACTCAAGATATATGCTGTGAACTAGTATTTCTAAGTGGTCAGTTTAGCAATTATAGTTCCTCTGTCTGTAAGTCATTCTAAGTTTATTTCTATTCATTATCCTCTTTCAGCATTCATTCTGGACCACTCTTCAGTAAGTATGAGTTTCTTAACTCAAACATTTGCTTTAAAGAATCTGGTCAGTTAGCTATCATTTTGTAGCATTTTGATTGCCACAATTATCTACTTATTTTTTATAAATGAAAGCACCAAAGGATACTGAGTGACTTTTCTGCATCCAGACATAACCTTCCCTTCCTGCACTGTGCATCATGAATTCCAACATTTTCTCATGGTCGGTACCCTTTACCCCCACCAGCAGGATTACACCTTTCCTTGTCCACTGGCTGCTGCATAAGGAGAAGTCCAAATTTATAAGGTGGCGATCTTTGTTTCAAGTTGGTGTGATTTGTAATGCCCCTTGGGGATGAATTACCACCCTGTTAAAAACCAGGACACTGAATATAATAAAATTTGAACTTTTGCATCCAAGAAACAGTGTTTTCCTCATTGGATTAACAGAAGTAATGGGAAGACTGCCCAATGGTACTCTTATTCCTTGTCTGTAGGACTAGTAGTGTAGATTTGGAAGGCACAGTACCTTGTGTTTTCCAATTCTACATGATGTCTTGATGGGGTATGTCACTTTGCTAAGGAGCTAAGGAACAGAGAGGTCACCTCATTGTATTAATTATAGTAATTTGTGATCATGAAATGTGTAGCGCGATAAGTGGGTCCCATGGTAATTATAATACACCCATTACCTCCTCTTGTTTACTAGGAAATAGTTCATTTAGAAACTGTTTGACAATGATTTTGCAAGTGCCTTTTTGGTAAGATTGGAAAAAAATTCTATGTCTCGGAAAGCAAATTCATACCCAGAATCATACCAATTCTGATAGTTAAATTACTGACTTCTCCAAAGCATTCAGTAGACCTTCAGCTTGTTTCATTTCAAATACCTGCAAATCATTCAGTTATAGGTGATACCATATTGGCTGGGTATGTTTTGTTACTGTCATTAACAGTTTGTTTGTCTGGCAATGGCAATGTCTATTCAGCCTCAGTGAGAGGCAGCCTATTCTATGGTGTTCCCCATTGTCATATCCTTGCCATCCTAGACAACCCATTGTTAGATTGACTACATGAACACTATAGCAGCTAAGAAGCAAGCTGTTGATATGAGCAGGATAAACCATGATTGATCATCTATCGTTGTTTCACCTTTGTGCTAAGAGGGGCTCTGTAAGATACTACTATCAGCCATATAGTAATCCACAAATTATGTTTTCTTCCTTATCCACTGCATAAAATACCTTGGACTTGCTTATTGTTTCACCCATCTTTGTGAGCTTAAATCCCAATTCAACTAGTAATAATTACTTGTCACTTTGATATGAAGGGAATGACCAAGAATATGACTACTAACTGTGGTCACGGTTAAGATTCACCCCACCAGTATCGCCTAAAACAATGCCAGAGTGGGGGGTAATTACATCAGAGTACATTTTCGGTTCACATTATCTGCTGAGCTGATGCACTGGAGAACCAAGCCTGTTTTTTTTTTTTTAATGTGTTACTTGCTCCTACTCT